AAAACTGATAGAATTTCAAAACTTCTCTCTCAGTAATTAATTAAACAGTAGACCAGAAATGAGTAAGGATATGCAAGATTTGAAAAACACTTGAAATCAATTTGGCCTAATTTACGTTTATGAAACACTCCAACCAACAACATCACAGTATACATTCCAACAGTATGGAACATATGCCAGATTACAGAACTAGCCTTTAAAAGTAAATCAATAGGGGCACCTGGGTGGCTCTGTCAGTTAAGCGGTGGACTCTTGGTTTCGGCTCAGGTCATCTCGTAATTCGTGGGTTTGAGCTCTCCGTGGGGCTGTGCGATGCTGGCGTGGAGCTTGCTTGGGATTCTCTCTCTCCCCCACCCCTGCCTCTCCTCTGCTAGTGCTCTCTGTCTCTCTGTCTCAAAATAAATAAATAAACTTTTGTTTAAAAAAGGAAATCAATAAAGGATTAAAATCAGAGTATTTTCTCTGGCTTCAAGGAATTGATTTAGACATCAATAGCTTAAGATGATCAATGACATAATCCCCAACTACTTGGAAATCAAAGGCTGTGCTTCTAAAATAAACCGTGGGTCAAAAAAGAAATCAAAAGTGAAAGAGAGATGAACCCTGGGGACACAAGAAGAAATGCATTGTGTTTTCTACCCTTTTTGGGTCTCGAGATCTAGCGGGGCAAGTAAATGAAGCAGTGCAATAAATATGGAAACTACTGTCACATAGTAAAAGTGTCATGCTGACATAGATAAAGGAGGGGTGCACGCTGCACAGGAAATGTCATTTGTGCGGGTCATTGTAAAATCACTGGCATTTACCAATGAAAGAGAAGAAAATGTTTAAGGGGGGGTGGGCAACAAAATGGCGTTTCATTTACTGAAGCTAAAGAGAGGATGTGAGGAAGGATGGTGGTAGAATGTGAGGTGGAATTGTTGAGAATAGACTAAATAATGAGTTGGAGAGCTTAGAATTTATCCTTAGGCCCCTGGAAAAATGTGTTTAAAGGAAAACGAAGGGGGACATGCTCAGACTTGTGTATTGGAGACCTAACTGTGGCCATCTTCAATATGGCAGATGAAGTGGGGTTGGGTTGGGGATGACAGCATGGAGGTTGAGTGACCAATTAAGAGTCAACTGAAATAATCCAGGGGTGGGGTCATGAGGGTCTGAATTAAGGGTCTAAGAATTTAAGTGGTGAAGAACATTCTCCTTAAAAGTCCTAAGATGTGAGTCTGAATCCATGTTCTTCCAAGAACTCAACATTTACTCTTGAGCAAATTGCTTCACTGCTCTGGCCTTAAGAACATCATCTGTAAAATGGGAGCCACCCATGGTAAGAACTGTCAGAGACAGCCAAGCTTGCGTCCTCTTAGAACTTTTGTGACCAGCTCTGAATACCTGTTCCCACTACCTGGAGAGCTGGAGAGCTCTTCACCGACTCCCTCTTGTCTTTCAGATATGGAAAAGTTTCACCTTCTGTGGGTGAAGGTTGACCGCCTAATCAAAACAGCTCCCACTGATCACTGTTTAATGCATTACTTTCTTTATTGTCTCAGAAACATTTATCAATATCCAAAATTCTCTTTTCTATTTGCTGCCTCTCATCTGTCTGCACCCCACTAGAATGGAGGCTCTGTGAAAAAAGAGAAATTACCTGTCTTATGTCCCACTGTACCTCCAGCATCTAGAACCATACACGTAAAGGACCCTCATTAAGGGGCGCCTGGATGGCGCAGTCGGTTAAGCGTCCGACTTCAGCCAGGTCACGATCTCGCGGTCCGGGAGTTCGAGCCCCGCGTCGGGCTCTGGGCTGATGGCTCAGAGCCTGGAGCCTGTTTCCGATTCTGTGTCTCCCTCTCTCTCTGCCCCTCCCCCGTTCATGCTCTGTCTCTCTCTGTCCCAAAAATAAATAAACGTTGAAAAAAAAATTAAAAAAAAAAAGGACCCTCATTAAATATCCATCCAGTGCTGAATCTTATAAACCCATTTCTTTTTATGAGTGTCATGAGAATTGCCTAAGATCACACAACTAATAAATAGTAGAGAGAAATGAAAATCCTTTTCTTCTGATTTCCTGGTTCACTGATCTTTCGATGCATGACATCTGGTCTCTTACCTCATAGGATCATTTAGGAGATCAAATGAGAGGATAAGATGAAGAGCCGAAAGTTTTCTGAGAAGACAAGGCTCATGATTTAGAAGTTGCCCGGAAAGGAAACAATGACTCAGTGCCTCTAGAGGCTGAGAGCACTTCACAAAATGCACTATCTGGGCAGTGTGGAACCTGGGAAGCTTGGAAAGGGGTCGTTCTTTGTTTCTGCTGAGATGCGAAAGCCAGCATTTGGTGCCGTTGAGAATGAGATTCAATAGGGACATATGATATGGGAGGGAGGTGGATGAGGCAAAGGAAATAGATAAAGGTCTGCCTCATTAAAATGTTACAGAAGTCCTGAGGTGGCAGGATTCCCAATTGCTCACATCTAATGCAGTCCTTCCTCTTGTGGCTTTCTGAGTGAAAGGTTAATTCCTCCTGGGTTTCTTCCACTTTCAAGGGCTGAGGAGGGAAAATCTGTTTGTGACTGAGAAATAAAGAAGACCTGCACCAGGCAGTGGATGGCTACAGGTCTAAATTTGATGGAATGAATTGACCTCTGCATCTATGGCTCACTCGCCTGGCAACTGTTGAATAAATTAATTAATATTGCCAGATACCGTGCTAGGCATGGTGATAAAGGGGTGAACGGGAAGCTGCGGGCTTTACCTAAGGGAGCTTGAAGGTAGGTGCAGACAGATAGCGAACAAACGATGGTGGAATGAAGTCCCATCTTGTTGAGGTGACCTTCGGGAAGTTGCCCCTGCTCAGTGATGCTCAGGGCTACCCAGGAAAAGACAGCTGAGAACTTTGTCACCTTCATATTAAGTAGAAATGCGGCCATAAAGCAATTTGATTTTAATGCAAAATTTGAATTTTGGAAACGGTCTTCAATCTGAAAAACACTTAGTTTTTACATATATGCTTTTCAGAGATTTGCTCATTGTGTCATATGTTTATTTTTAAGCATTTTGAAGAGTATCTTTCAGCTTTATTGAGGTATAATTGATAAATACGATGGTAAGATATTTAAAATGTACATTGTGATGATTTGTTACATGTCTACACGATAAAAGGATTCTTCCCATTTAGTTAATAAATGTATTCACCACCTCACACGTTTATCAACCGTTACTCCCTGTTCCCTCCACCCCCGCGGCCCCTGGCAACTACTCTTCTACTCTCTGTTTTTATGAGTTTGACTTTTTTTTTTAAGGTTCCATATGAGTATTTGCCTTCCTCTGCCTGCCTTATTTTCCTTAGTATACTGCTCTCAAGGTCCATCCGTGTTATTGCAAATGGCAGGATTCCTTCTTTTTTAAGGCTGAATCATATTCCATAAGATATCCATATGTATATACTTATACATACATACTTGGCAGGAGTCTTCACGTCCTACAGGCGTCACATGTCACAACTGGGAAAACTGCTCTGGCTGCGTTCCAGGTGACAGGAAAGCCTGTCAGCCTGACCATGGGATACCGTGTGGCCATGTGTCCGGGACTGCCCATCGGTCTTTGGATGCAGGCTGCCCTGGGGAAGACTGGCTCTTGGGCGAGCTGGTGCCGTGCAGCCGAGGTGAGCCCAGCAGGGGCCGACAGCTGAGTGCCACCTGCTGACAGCGGCTGGGCAGCGAAGCCTTTCTTGAAGGGGGGTCTGGGCGCCCCGCCTCCACGCTCATCACACGGGCTACGGTATGGTGACCAGGACATGCGCAACACAAGACTTCATGTTGAAACACGGCTCCTTTACTTTCAAAAGTAGCTCAGGAAACTGACTCCAACTTTCGAAGGCTCAATTCTACCATCCATAACGTGAGGAGAACAATAGTACTTTGATTATGAAACTGCTGTTACGCGGCAGTGAGGTCATATGTGCTCAGAACTTAGCACGGAGCTCGAAAGTGCCACCCGTCGCTGTTCTCATTATTTGTAAGCTGAGTCTGCGCAGTTAAGATGATGCACGTGCAGGTGTAATCATGCTTCATTATGCTCGATTGTTTCTTTTTTTTTTTTCTTCTAATTTTTTCCTGAGTAATATTTCCAAGGCTCCAAGTGGCTTTCTTTGGGTGAACAGCTGGCAAGGAGGAGAAAGGTGAGATTGGTAAGAGGATTAGGGAAGGAGAGCTCTTTGTTGTGTTTGCTAACTGCTCAGTAGCCCCGGCAACAGTGGCTCTGTGGCCACTGCAGTTCAACTCGATTTATGCTACACAGGTTGCAGACATGCATTAGGATGCATTCTCCAGGCTGTAGGCGATCCTACCTCTCTTCTGAGACACCTAAGTATTCTGATCAAAGGTTTCCACTTGCCGGAGCAGTGGAGCATGATCTGACCAAATCTAATTTTTGTGTGGATATGGGTGTGTTTTCATTTCCCCTTTCATAAAAAAAAACGGGGGGGGGGTGGCGGGGGGAGAAGGAAGGGGGAGCAGCATATGTTATTCCTTTGCTGCCATCTGAAACAGCCAAGTTGAGAGCCAATTTATTCAGCCTAATTCATTCCAGATTTCTCAAGGAATAAACAGTGTTCTTGAGAGTTCTCAGATGTATGGCCAGTAGAGATCCAGTTGTCCAGGAGCGCTAATGTCAAACATGCAGGTACGTTTCAGTTAGGGCACAAGGCTCTAGGGATGGAGGGTAGACTCAGACACTCTCTGGGTTACCCCTGAGACCCCCGAGCTGAGTAATGGGACAACTGCTTCGCATACCCTAAGCACAGACCTAAGAGAGCTCATTAGGGTCCTTGTAAGCAATATTATGTTTCATTGCTCAGAACTTCATTCAAATCTGCAGAGAGAAGGGATTGCTCAAGGAGAGAAAAACACAAGGAATTGTATTCGTATTCTTTCTCCATGAGTCTTACGTATGCTTTAAGAACCGCCCCTCCTCCCCCGCTCTCAAAAGCCCTACCTTTTCTACAGAAATCTTCCTAGATGATGCCAGCCTATACTGAGAAAGGATTCCTGTTGGAGCCATTCCAAATCCCATTTCTCAGAGGACAAAATAGAGACTCTGCTACTCTCTGAACACCCCTCTTACTGAGAACTGGCAACACCTAATGTGGACAGAAGAAAGCTTACATCCTTTGGAGGCAGGTGGGTATAGGTTCCAATTTTGCCTCACTTTTCCTTGTTCTGTGAATTTGGGCAAGTTAATTCTCCGAGCCTGTTTCTTCATTTGAAAAATGAAGATGATAATTTCTGGATTTTAGGTAACATGTATCAACAAAACAATAGGGCTACCATCATTTTCGCTTTTGTTGCTTAATCAGTATGTGCTTGGTCTTTTCCAATACATGGCACTCTCCTTGAGGACTACCGGGCTCATGGTGAGGGGACCAGTCTGTGTGCTGTTTGTATTCAGCTCCATTCTTCACTCTAACTTTGCTTTGCTCCGTATCTCTGGGGACGATTCTGCATTCCCCAGTCTCCTGGTTAGAAAGTTCCAGTGGGGTTGAGCCCTGGGAGGCACACGTCAGAGATAAGAGGCAGCCTGTCTGGTTCCATCTCCACCCAGGTGACCCTGACCATGGGGCTCTGGAGACCTCACTCGCTCCAGCCATAGGAATGACAGCAGTTGCCTACTGTTGCTAATCTCTTGGTTTCTCAGCTCTTCTTTCAACAGTGCAACCAGTTTCTTCTGTGCTTAATATTGAGAGCTTCCTGGTTGAACCCTAATTCATGTATTAAGTAGAAGAAGATATTCAGTCCCATAATTGCTGCAGATTGTTTTTTAAACAAGCATTAAAAGGGCACATGGGTGGCTCAGTCAGTTAAGCGTCTGACTCTTGATTTCAGCTCTGGTCATGATCTCACAGTTTGTGAGTTCTAGCCCCTCGTTGGGCTCTGTAATGACAGTGTGGAGCCCGCTTGGAATTCTCCCTCTCCTCCTTTCTCTCTGCCCCTCCCCTGCACCCTCCTCTCTCAAAATAAATAAACTTTTTTTTTAAAAAAAAAAGCATTAAAGAGTCCTGGTAAATATAGAATAATGGAAATCAATAAATCCTGAATATATGCAAAGTCCCAGCATGCTCATTTCATAGATACAGAAACTGAAGTCCCAAAAGGGAAATGACTTCACCCAGGTAACACAATCAGAAAAATATGCAACATGCATGCTGATGTGAAAGGCTTTGCTACTAAATCTGTAATTCAGATTTCTAGATTGTATGTTACTTGAGAACAGGGATTTCTTTTTGCATAGTTAACACTTGAACAACGTGGGGGCTAGGAGTACCAGTCTCCTGTGTATTTGAAAATCCAAAGATAACTTTTAACTCCCCCCATAAATACAAGTATTAATAACTTACTGTTGACTGGAAGTCTTACCAATAACAGTTGATTAACACCTATTTTGTATGTTATGTGTATTGTAAACTATATTCTTAGAGTAACTAGAGAAAAAATGTTATTAAGAAAGTCATAAGAGAAAATATATCAACAGTGCCGTGTTGTATTCACTGAAAAAAAAATCCACCTGTAAGTGGACCCATGCAATTTGAACCCATGTTGTTCAAGGATCAACTGTGTATCGATAGTTCCTAGCATATAGCCTGATATGGAGTGGATGCTGTAAGTGTTTGTAAAATGGAACTTATGCCCAGTCAAATGCAAACTCCTTGAGTAGGAGACACAGAGAAGCTATAAGTCAAATGCAAACTCCTTGGGGCACCTGGGTGGCTCAGTTGGTTAAGCATTGGACTTTGGCTCAGGTCACGATCTCATGCTCCATTTCTGGCTCTCTGCTGTCCGCAGGGAGCCTGCTTCAGATCCTCTGTCCTCCTCACCCTCTGCCCCGGTCCGACTCACGCTTTCTCTCTCTCAAAAATAAACATTAGAAAAAAACCATGCAAATTCCTTGAAGTAGGAGACAGAGAAGCTACAAGGACCCTAATATGTATCATAGTATCCAACTTACGTTTAAAATGTTGGCATTAATATTTGACCTGAGTTTTCTACACTAGAAGACAAATGTTACACGGTTTACAAAATAATTTCTCACATAAGCTCTAGAACCATTTTGTGGTGTAGTAAGCAAAATCAGTATTTATCACGCTTGTTTTATAGTTGAGGAGGTTAGAGTGGCTGGCCCACGCTAAGGTCATGGGCTGAATTTACATCTTCTGATTGCAAAATGAATATTGTTTCCATTACACTACCCTGTGCTCCCTATCTAACATCTGAAATAGATACATCTGGAAGCTATAGTATATTTAGCCATTAAGGCAGCATTAACAAGTTAGAAATAGCCTTCTCAAACTGGGGTTACTTACATCCCCAGGGGGGTAACAAGGGTGGCCTGAGGCTACTTGAAGCTGGAGCGCCCTGAGCATGAAATTTACCTGAAGATTTGAATGACAATGTAAGTACTTTAAATGAAAGATGATTTCACATTAAATTAACATGAATATATTGTGAGGAAGAAGACAAAGTTCTTGTGATTTTTTTAAAAGTTTATTTGTTGAGAGAGAGAGGGGGAGAGAGAAAGAGAGAGAGAGAGAGAAATCGAGAGAGAGAGTGCAAGCAGGGGAGGGGCAGAGAGAGGGAAAGAGAAAGACTCCCAAACAGGCTTCCCACTGACAGCTCAGAGCCGGATGTGGGGCTTGATTTCATGAACCCTTAAGATCATGACCTGAACCAAAATCAAGAGTCAGATGCTTAACTGACTGAGCCACCCAGGTGCCCCAAGGTCTTGTGATTTTTATTATGAAATACAATCCCTCAAAGCATTTTTCAGTTTGTCATTGCTGTTTTAGGGGATCGCCTATATTTCCGCAAGGTGTCTTCATTTTTTATTCCAGGGGTACTGCAGTGAGAGTTTAAGAAATACTCCATCTTTTTTCTTTTCAGAGTGTCCTTTTAAAAAAATCAAAGTACTACATGCACATAATTAACAAATCAAATACTATAGAGGGATAATAATAAAACCCAAAAGTTCTTTTGTCCAGCCCTATCACCCATCCTCACTTCCAGTACTACTCCCAGAAACAGTGATCTATTATGTGCTTCTGTTTTTCAATCTTTATATAATGCTTGTTTTATCATTTCTCAATGAACCAACTTTCAGTATTATCATTAACTTCTTCCAATAAAAATGAGTATTTGCTTCGCTTAAACACCTCTAAAAATATCACCTCCTTTTTGTGAGCTTGCCTTTTCATCGAAATGGAGGTTTGGGATGAACAATGTCTTATTATTGTTGTGATCAAATTTATTAGTCTATTTTTTGTTCCCTACTCAAGAAGACCCTCTTTACTTCAAAGTCATGAAGATATTCTTTCACGTTATCTTCTAAGAGTTGTATTGTCCTGTCTTTTTTATTTATACCCACGATGGATCTGGAAGTGATTTTTGAATATGATGTAAGGTGGGGACAAGTGTACATTTTCTGAATGGAAGGATATATTCATGGCATAATAACCAACAAAGGGCTCACTTTCATAGTATACAAAGAATATCTGCAATTAGTATGAAAGATACTAACAATCCAATAGAAATATGAACGTATTGAAAAAAGACTTTGCAGATCAGAATATTCTAATGACCGATTAATAATCCATGAAAAGGTACTTAACCTCATCTGTATTCACAGAAATACAAATTCCAACCATAACAGGAAACTATTTTATATTCTTGAATGAAAAAAATAGAACATAAAAATAGAACATAAAACAAAAAAATAGAAAATCTGACCATAACAAATATTGGCAAGATTGTAGAACATCAGAGACCCTCCTGAACTTCTGGTGGGGATATAAATTATTTTTTTTAATTTTTAAAAAATATAATTTATTGTCAAATTGGCTTCCATACAACACCCAGTGCTCATCCCAGCAAGTGCCCTCCTTAATGTCCATCACCCACTATCCCTTCTCCCCCACCCCCCATCAACGCTCAGTTTGTTCTCTGTATTTAAGAGTCTCTTACGGTTTGCCTCCCTCCCTCTCTGTTTGTAACTTTTTTTCCCCTTCCGCTCCCCCGTGGTCTTCTGTTAAGTTTCTCAACATCCACACAAGAGTGAAAACATATGGTATCTGTCTTTCTCTGACTGACTTATTTCACTTAGCATAATACCCTCCAGTTCCATCCACGTTACTGCAAATGGCCAGTTTCATTCTTCCTCATTGCCAAGTAGTATTCCATTGTATGTATAAACCACGTCTTCTTTATCCATCCATCTGTTGATGGACATTTAGGCTCGTTCCATAATTTGGCTAGTGTTGAAATTGTTGCTATAAACATTGGGGTACATGTGACCCTGTGCATCAGCACTCCTGTATCCCTTGGGTAAATTCCTAGCAGTGCTACTGCTGGGTCATAGGGTAGGTCTATGTTTAATTTTTTGAGGAACCTCCACGCTGTTTTCCAGAGCGGCTGTACCAGTTTGCATTCGGTGAGGATATAAATTATTAAAACCACTCTGAAACGTATTTGATACTGTCTACTAAAGTACCCTCTAATCCAGCAATTCTTCCCTTGAGTAATTACACAACAGAAATGTATGCAAATAAGCACCAAGAGATGTGTCCGAGAATTTTATAGCAGTACTATTCATAACAGTCCCAGACTGAGAACAACCCAAAAGTCCACAAACAGGAGGATGCTTGGCATTGACAGCAGACGGGAGTTAATACAGGATAGAATATTTTTAAAGCAAAGAAACTGATGATTCTCACAAACATAATTTTGAGCACCAAAAGCCAAACGCACGCACACACACGCGCACACACGCACACACGCACACACATACACACACACACAAAGGCACTGTATAATTATATTGCTATGAAAATAAAGAAACAGGCAACACAGTAGAGTGATGGAAGGAAGTATGGAAGGAAGAAGTGGTGATTGCTAACAGGTAGCCAGAAACTCCCTAGAATGTGTGTGTTCCTTTCCTAGGACTGGCATAAGACCACACCATAGACTGGGTGGTTTAAACAACAGAAATTTATTTTCCTATAGCTCTGGAGTCGAGAATTCAGAGATCAAGACGTCAGCAAGATTGGTCTCTCCTGAGGCCTTTCTCCTTGGCTTGTGGATGGCGGTCTTCTCCCAGGATCTTCACGGGGTCTTTCCTCTGTGTGTGTTTTTGTCCTAATTTCTTCTTCTTACAAGGACACCATATTGGATTAGGCCCCACTCATGTCACCTCATATGAACATTACCTCTTTCAAGACCCTGTCTCCAAATGCAGTCACATTCTGAAGTCCTGGGGCTTAGGACTTTAACATATGAAATTGAGGGGGTCCCAGTTCAGCCCGTAACAGTGAGGAAAGGGTACAATCTTATCTTCCAGGGATGGCAATATCTCACTTCTTGACCTGGGTGGTGGTGCTAAGATGGGTTTAACTTAGTGGTAATTTATGGCAAGGAACATTTCTTTTTTTCCTTAAAAAAAAATTTTTTTTTTATATTTTATTAGAGAGAGAGAGCACATGGGAGAGGGAGAGAGAGAAATAGAGAGGGAAAGAGAGAATCTTAAGCAGGCTCCACGCCTGATGCAGGGCTTGAGCCCAGGACCATGGGGTCATGACCTGAGCCAAAACCAAGAGTCAGATGCTCAACCAACTGAGCCGCCCAGGCACCCCATTTCTTTTTTGGATTGTATTTGCACTTCATGACACAAGAGCTAAACATAGATAAAACTAAAAATGTGAATTAGTCAGCTTTGCTGAGGTAACAAACAACCCTAAAGTCTCAGTAGTGTATAACAGTGAGCATTTATTATTCACTCACATTACTTCTTGGTGGCTGTGGATCTCCTGGACCTAGGCTGAAGGAACAGCCTTTCTTTGGGACATGCCATTCTCGTGGCAAAGGGAAAAGCACAAGAGAGTTGATAGAAACCCACGATGTTCCTTCAAGCAAAAAAAAACCCCAAAAAACTGTATAACATGGTCTCATTTTGTGAAAATATTGGTGACCATTCACCAAGTACACATCAGTGGGGAGGGATGTTGACTTTTTCCCTGGATGGGAGGCATTACAGTCAACAAGATGTAAAATCCTCTTATAGGATAGGGGGCAAATAACGTGGAACAACAAAATAATCTGCCATAAAAGGTCAACAGAAAATTATAGACCAGGAGGAAAACATTTGAAATGCAAATGACAGCTAAATACATTTCTGAGCAGTTAAAATTTTTAAACACTTTAAAAAACAGAGGTGTGGGACAAAAAGCATTGGAGAATTTGTTTTATAACCTTGGAACAGAGAAAGTTTAAGTTTGACATCAAATTCTGAGGTCATAAATCCGACAACATAAAAAGTAAACACGCTGAATTAGAAAAACTACCATATGCACAAAGTTGAAAGACAACCTACAAATATTTGAAACTCAAATCACAGGGAAAAGGTCCTTTTTTGAAAATAGGATGTGCTTCCACAAATTAATAACAAAATGTTTAACAAGTTGGCATAGGGGCGCCTGGGTGGCTCAGTCGGTTAAGCGGCCGGCTTCGGCTCAGGTCATGATCTGGCGGTCTGTGAGTTCAAGCCCCGCGTCGGGCTCTGTGCTGACCGCTCAGAGCCTGGAGCCTGTTTCAGATTCTGTGTCTCCCTCTCTCTCTGACTCACCCCCGTTCATGCTCTGTCTCTCTCTGTCTCAAAAATAAATAAACATTAAAAAAAATTAAAAAAACAAGTTGGCATTATTTTACCAACCGGACACAAGAATTTACTCATGTGTTGTCTTCATTTCTGGGGCCCCAGGCAACTCAGATGAACAATTCTAAAAAAGAAAAAGAAAAAGGTTCAAACATGGGAAAAGATCTCCCGTCACATTTATAATAACGTAAATGCAAATGAATGAAATTCATAACGAGACACAATTTTTTCACCTATCACATTGGCAGAGTATGGAAGTAAGAAGTGTTTTTTGCTAACAGGTGGCAAGAAACTCCCTATAATGTGTGTGTTCGTTTCCTAGGACTACCATAAGACCGCAACAGACTGAGTGGTTTAAACCAGAGAAATTTATTTTCTCACAGCGCTGGAGTCTAGAATTCGGAGATCACAAACGTGGGTAATGGATATCGGGGGCCAGGAGGTCATCTTATATTGCTGAAAAAAGGGTAAGTTGCCTCACCCCACTCCAATTTGGCAATATCTCTAAAAGTTTACAATGTATCTATCCTTTGATCAAGGGATTCCATTCCTAACCGTGTACCCCATGGAGAGCACATGTACAAATATAAGCTGGCAGAAAAGTATGTGTCACAACATTGTTTCTAAACACAGTAAATGATGGAAAAGAAACAGAAATTTACTACTCTGAAGCACTGGTAAAAATATAGCCCATCCATGGAATAATATGCTGCCATTAAAATAAGACACTTTTACATTTACTGAAATGGAAAGATCTCCAGCATGTATTAAGTGGGAGAAACGGGAAGGAAGTGCAGAAAAATTTGCATACAAATCCACCTGTGTGGGAAAGAAAATGGACGGACTCTGAAATCTATTCACTGGCTGACTGTCTCTGGGGAGGAGAATTGAGTGGATAGGAGACAAGGGAGGGATTCTTGTTTTTTGCCTTTTTATACCTTTGTACTTTTGTATTATGTGCCTGTATTACCTAATTATAAGCAACCAATCTAACAAACATGAATGAACAGCCCAGAGAAACTTAGGAAGTGATGTGAGCAACGGAAAAGATCCCAGGATTTATCATCAAATGGGGTCTGAGTTGAAATCCTAGCTCTCACCCACTATGGGCCCTTTGTTCTCTGAGTTCTGTAAAATATAAATCTGTAAAATCAAGATCATAATGCCCAACAAGCAGCACTGTTGGAAGAATGAGACATAACATCAATGAAGTGCCTGGCTCAGTGAAGAGTAGCCGTCATTATTGAATTCACATTGGGGGAAATTAATAACCACAGAGAAGGCTAAATCTATTCCAAGTTACACAGGAAGTTTAACAGCAAATTCTTTCCCAAGGGGCTGCTTCAGGCTTTGGCCTATTCTCCAGAGCCTGCTGAATATGAGAGGAACTGTTTTCAGGGCGGGCCAGACCTGGGTCTGTTTGGCGGTGCTCCAAAGTTTCAGGTGCAATAGGTTAGCGGCAACCGGTCCTCTTGTTTTCCTCATTATCATTGTGAAGAAATTAGCCCGCAGTTGTTCAAGCGGCGGGGGGGAAGCATTCTGGGTGGTCTGGGGCCCCCTGAGAAGGCCTGCCACATGAAGGCCGGGATGCCCAATTACATTTGAATTTCAGGTAAATAACGAATAACCTCGCAATACAGACATACCCCAAATAGTACAGTACAGCTTGCCATGCGGCGTACCTGGACTACAAAACCGTTTGTTGATTATCTGAAATTCAGATGTCACTATGAGTCCTGCCCTTTTATTTGTTAAACCTGGCAGCCCTATCCGTGAGTGGAGATACCCACAGGCGAAGGCTTGTGTTTATTCGGGAAAATACTGCGAAGGTCCTCACAGCTAGTCTTTGAGAAGCACTTCTCCGTGGGCGCTCTGTAGCCCAAATGTGGAGGAGATCTGGGGGTAAAGGTGAAATGAAGGTCAGAGGAGGCCCAGCTGTGCCCAAGGAACCCACCAGATAAAGCTGCTGCCTTCGCTACGATTTGGCTTCCCCTTTGCTTCCTGGAGGCCGCAGGTGCCTGGAAGTGACACGAGGAGGCAGCACGGGAGGAGGGATGGGAAGACAGGTGTTTCTCCCCTCGCTGATGCAACTCTCTTCCCAGTGAGCATGCGCCAATCACGCTCGCCTTTAAAAGCGGGCCTTGGGCGCTTCGCTGGTCTAGAGGAGGGGTTTTCATGCCGGTCGTGTATTGGGCTTTTGTGGCTTTTTCCGTGGGGGCGGTTTTTCCGACTCTGGGTTTGCTGATTTGTGTTTTTTGAGGTAGGGGGTCGGGTGAGAGAGAGGGGCATCTAGGGGATAGGGGAGGGAGTGGTATCTGCTTTCTTTCCCCCCAAGAAGTTTCTTTTTCTGTCCCTTTTCCGGGCCTGGAAGGCCATTGTGCTGGCAGGACTGTTCTCTTTTCGCTGTGGCTTCTTTTACAAAGCATCATGCTGTCCTCTCCAGGAGAGCTGGCTTTTCACCTCCTCTCTCTACCCTAGTTCTGAACAAGGCTGTTCCCTGAGGGTTAGGGGGTGGTTTGCGTGACTGAGATTGCTCCCTGAGTTTCAGGCTTTGCCTGGTTCCCTGCCAGGGAGGGGGAAGCAGGCCCGCCGAAGTTTTCTTCCAGCTTCCTATAGAAGGGGCTCTGCGTCTTTCACTTTGGCCTCTAGCAGGAGAAGCTGTGCTCCAGCAGAGACGCTCCGTAATTTAGCGGTTATGGCCATTGCTGTTATTCCCGTAATGGTAGGGGAAGGTCCGTCTCCCTTTTCCGACAATTGAACATAGAAACTGGTCAGCTAGACCTTCCTACTGCTTAGAGAGGAAACGTTGTGATGGAGTGTGGCTGCTTATTTCACAGAAAGCTTGTTTCCCAGCTACATGTATCTTCCCGGAGCTCTGCTCTTCTGTCCTAAGGCTTCTGAAGGCAGACTCAAAGCGGTATGGGCAAGGAGCTAAGCAGGTCTTTCTGGGGTTTTCTGCTAAGTCTGAGGTTTCTCACCTAGGGTGCAAGCAAGAGCTCGTTGGCTTGTGCCTAATCACCTTGCTTTCGGGGCTCAAGCTGCTGAAATCTTGGTCAGATAAAATGCCAGAATGATTGCACCAAGCTACTAGAACCCACTCTCAGGCACTGGTAGTTCATGGCCAAGTAACAGCTGAATAGAGAGAAGCAGAATAAGCTACACTTGACGACTGTTTCTAGCAGGGGGAAGAGGGGTTGAGCGCCTTTGAGCAGGCAGCCTGCTACTGATCCCCTAACTTCAGCGTATTCCATGAAAAATGCATATGGAGTAGTGAAATCCAGGTATCCTGTGAAGTAGCAAAAAGGTTAAGTCTGACGTTTAGTGCGGGTAACCTAAGCTCTGGGCAGGCCTTGATGCTCACGTGGAAACCTGTCAACCGTGAGTCCAGAAACACGGACATCAGCTTTGGTAGGCCTGTCCGGCTGCTGGGTATGCCTCCTAGGCTGCTTCCACTCACACTTAACGGGTGTCAAGAGCAAACGCTTCAACTAACTTCTAAGGATACTCTCTACCAGGTCTGATCCTAGAAAACTCAAGTACCTCACCCTTGTATAACCAGGTTTCTAAAAACGGCTTCTCCTAGCAGCTCCTAGTTCAGCTAGAGTCCCTAAAGTGGCACCTCCTTAGCATTTTGCTGGGGTGCTGGGCTCCCTGGTCGCCATCTCGGGCAGGGTCTTCATAGTGTGTGGATCTTGAGCTGCAACCCCAGGCAATTGCACAAGTGTAGCTAAAATCTAACCCAGCAGTCCACGGTATGTAGTCCCGGGGGGGAACACTTCTCAGCTTGCTTGAGAAAGGACAGGTGAAGAATCTAAAGTCTCGGGACAAACGAGCACAACTTAAGGGGGTAAGATCTTTCCATAGTCCTGATACCTAGTGTCAGAAAGCTCTAAAAAGAACTTGACTTCTTTTGGCTGTGTCTCCCCACCTTGCACTGACTCCAATGTCCATAGCTTCTACTTGAAAGCTCTTCCAGCCATTTTAGCCAAGCAGAGTTAAGGTGACCAGCCGACAAAACCATTACAGACTGAATGGATTCTTGTGACATGAGGTGCTCTAAGACTTCAGTTTACAGACATCCGTAGAAATGACTGCTTATCACCCCGTGAAAGCTTTAAGATGAATAGATGGCATGGAGGTGGTGATGTAGCAAAATAAGGGACAGCTGGGTTGTAGTTATAGCAAGTAAATCTCTTTAGCTGGGGGAGGGGGAAGGAAAACGAGGTTTTTCGGTTAACCTGGACAAGTCCTCCATAACCTTCCAAGCTTTCCTGTACTGCTACTTAGTGACTGCAGGAAAATGCCCAGGGAAGCTTCTAACATCCCAGTGCTGGGTATAGCACTTGCCAGGAGCACCTCAAAGGATTCTAGGATCTTGACGTAAATAAATGAGCTCGTGATTGTGCTGCGGAACTGGAGAAAAGCTTTGGGTAGAGGAACCTAAGTAGTGAGCTGTGAGCGGGTCTTGCAGGCTGGGTAGAACTGACCCCGGGGCACAAACCAGGTAGGAAGTAAGAATATGGTCTCAGGAATAAGGCTGAAGTGTGGGACAAAGCAAAAGACTTGTATTACTTGGAAAAACTGGGGGGACTGGTGATCATGCTTGTAAGCTCAGTGCTCAAAGTTGTCTACATCTCCTGGTAACAAAATGCTCTCACCTGGGTTCACTCTCTGCATATGCCCTAAACTCGAAAATCTGTGCCTCAAGTCAGGCTATTGTCTCGGCCTGTAAAGCTTCTTGCCTCTGCTTGGCACCTCACTTTGGCATCTATTTCCAACGTGGTTACTTGAGCTTTGCTGTGGTCACTGAAGGCTTTTAGGGGTAGGAGTGTGGGTGTAGCAGTTGGAGCTCCTGGGAACTCCAAGTATACGTGACTCCAGGTGAGTCTAGATCAAACTCCAGATGGACTCCAGGCCCTATGAAAAAGCAGTTATTGAGGGGCTTCTATTGAATGTAGTTAAAGTAACCGTGTGTCCCATCCACCTATTATCTCAGACTATAGCCGTTAAGCAAGTTGAACTCTGCAATGGGGGGCTGCGTGGAAAAAACTCTTGCTGCCTTAATACATCCAGTGGATACTCCAAATTGGTGTTGCTCCATGACCTTGAATTTTCAACACCAAAAAGTGATGTAGCAGAACTAAATACTGGGTAGTCTCTAGAGCTCGTATTGTAATGCTGCTTTAGAAAGGCCTCGATTTGGCCCATCACACACATCTAGAAAACGGACTTCATTGCTTCACCAACCATAGAGAGCCTAGTTTCCCACAAGGTGTGAAATGCTTCCACATCCCAGAACCCTGGAATTCTACCTGAGCTGTTGTTGGGAGAGGAACTCCACAACCCCTAGCTGCTCATTAGCTGATGGCTGAGCAGCAGGCCCATGGAGGCCTTGGTGTCTCCCCAGCCGTATCAATAACCTGAAGACCTAACCCCAACATTCTCCCATGGTTTGGGCCCTCTATTTGTTGAAATAATACTTGAGAGATTCAGCTGTAGTGCCTTCTCAGCTGACGCCGGAAACGGTGTGGTCGTTCAAAGGTGTCTAAATCTGAGGCCTAGGCCTAATAAGTGGCTTCTCTCTACCCTTTTTTTTTTTCCCCTCCTGCCCTTGGAGCAGCAGCTGTCTGATCACGTGGTAATGCTTGAATCTCTGGGAACCATTTCTCTATGGAGGATTAGTGTACCTGTGCTGTATCCCAGGTATTGCTGATCCCCACGCACAGGGAACGTGCTCGGCGACTCACTGTCAAACGTAATCCTTTTTGTTCCTTGTGAAGCCAAAACTATGGCTAGCGCTGCTGGGCTGGGGTTTTTTTTTTTTCCCACCCTCCATTATAACTTGGTCTCTTGAGAGAAGCCTCTTGAGATTAGGAAGAAATATTTTCTTCCTTAACAAAAGGGAACCCAAGTAGTAACGTGACTTCACAAAAGCAGAAGCCAGTGTGGAAGGTGAGCAGATGCTTATTTCAATAAGTCTATCTGGTTCCAAGCATAAGAACGGGTGACCTTCCTGGGGGCTCTGTAACCTCCCCCACTATCGCCGTTGAGGTCTTAATTGACTTAGAACCGATTCTGACTCTTCCGAATGACTTGGGTTTTTCTCCTGAAGGAACAAGTCTTTAAAGTTCTGACTAGAGGGGACTTAGGGTTTTAGCACCATCACATAAGGAGCTTAGAAGTTGTTCATCCCATGCCTATGACTAAGAAAACCATGACGTGATAGTCAACTCTTCAATCCACCGGGAATTGGCATTACAGGGAAACTTGCTACAATTGGAAAGACCAATACAGAGAACTTAAAAGAGCAGCAACTCTGTAGAAGCCTTCATAGGACCTAGTACCAAATGTAAACCTAACAGGCTGCTGGAGGCTCCGTGTGGACAAGTCCTGAAGGTTTCAGAAGGCAGATCCTAGGATGGCAAATTCGTAGCTCCCCAAATGGAAGTGGAAGGCTCCAAATAGGAGGCATCATCGGACATGGAATTGATGTGAAATTGAACAGCAGCTGACTAATCAGTTGTTCACATGCAGATTGTTCCCCTAGGACTGATAGTGATCCCAGTTGGTGTCCTTAAAGTTCTGGGCATCATAAGAACACGGACATTTCTCCTCCAACATTGACACCACCATAGAAATGCCAGTCAAATATTGTCATCCAAGATAAACGTAAAACAGCTGGGCTTAACCCTAAACTTTGTTTTGATCAGCAACCAGCTTATTCAAACTGAGTGG